CCATTACTAATCAAGCAAGCTTTATTGATAAGCACCAATGATAAAGTTGGACCTCACAAGAAAATAACTTAAATTAAAAATACTAGTCCTACATTGACTCACCATCAAAATTAACATCTACTCAGCGCAAGTAATCTTAGTCGAAGTTGCGCATCTGCAAGTTAAGAACGAAGTCAAACCCATAGCTTTGAATCATAGCCTCACGACGAGGGCTAATATTCTTAACTATCTTGAGGACCTGATACACACTGCACCTGATCGGTAAGCGATTGTCATCAGTTGTTGGTGCATTTGCCTTCTTCTCCATAATCTTACTAAGCGGTGCAAACTTACGTGTTGTATTCTTTGTACGCGGCATATTGTTAACCACTGGTAAAAAATTACAAATTGCATATAAATATATTAATCACCCATTCTCGAATAACGATAAATACCATTAGAATATGTTAATAACATATCACGATTATATTCATAATGCCATTTCACAAAGTCACGAAAATATCTTAATAATGTTAATAATGCGAGATTAGAAACGTACAAATATAGAAAAAATGAATTTTATCATTTTCCAATAAACTTTAACATGCAAAATTGAAACATAAGACGAAAAAATTGATAATGGCATGTTAAACAATTACAAACGTGAGCAACAACATTACAAATAATGTTACACAAGTAAAACTTAATAATGGAATAAACTAATTGATAGTGGAATCAACAAATTGATAAAGGTATTTTCAAACTTACTAACATCACCAATAAAAATTAAAACTAAAGACTATTTAGTTAAACAAGCTGACCAATATAATATAACATAAACCAAAATCCAAAAACCCTATGACCATGCAATGCCAAAACCTAGACCCATGCATCACACAAAAACCCTAAATTACAGAATGAAATATGGAGCCGTAAAAAACTTTGAATGCCGCCGACTTGAGCTCGGGATCGACGACGGACTAGACGGGGAAGTGGTCAATGGGACTGAGGCAGACGAGACCGCCTCCAACGGTGGCGACGATGTTGCCGACCCTACCCATGCAAAGGAAAAACCTAAACCAATGCACCGAACCATGGTTGTCATGCCGGTGGCATGCCACCAGGTTGAACCTGGTTCAACCTGTGTCGGTCATGAAACCGGCATGACACCACCGGTATGACCAGTATGATCGACTTACGCATTCTAAATAAAATGACATCATTTTAATGAATTTAATGAATAACAATAATAATTTATTATTCATTTTATGAATGTAATAGTTAAAAGTTGATGATATTTGTTGGATTGTAACTAAATTGTCCACAAATATGTTTTATATATGATTAAATACATTGGATATTAATTGTTTTCACATTTTTTTAGACCGGCATGAACCGGCACAAACTGGTTATACCACCGGTCGTACCATTCCACTTGCCAAACCGGCACAACGGTATAAACCGGTTTGACAACATTGACCGAACAAATGGAGAACTACCAAAAAAAATTACCTTCTCAAACGTCCGTCGGACTATGTCTAGAATGGACTGTACCGACGGAAGGATCAGGTGGAAATAGAAGCTGGGGTTAGGATTTGGTCCAAATGGGAAATTGGTGGAAACAGAAACTGGGAGCCGACAACGGAGATAAGCTGGCAGGAGCAGAAGGGACTACCGACGACTGCAGCGGACAAGATGGTCGGAGAACGTGGTTTGACGACAAGAGAAACGGTCGGCTGCGCATCATGGGAAAAAAAATAAAACAAGGGTTTATAGACGGTTAGGGTTACGTTTTTAATTTATTTACAATTCTCCAAATACCCTTACAACTAATTAACTAATAACTCCTCCTTAACTACTTAAAATTGAATCAACCAATCACAACGCTTTAAGATCCTCCTTAAAAAAATGGTTTAGGGACCTGAACTCGGGCCAGTTTTGTCGAATGAGGGGTGATTGGAGCAAAAATCAATTCTCTACTGCCAATGTTAAACAGGGGAAGTGATACATACCAGGTTAGGGGGAGACCGACGAAGGCGTTGCGAACAGGATGCAGGGGTCAAGGGAGAGAGCGTTGCATAGGCGGGAAATTGGCGACGACGTTTCAGAATTCAGACAGGAGCAGGGGTCAGGGAGAGACCGGCAACAACATTCTAGAATGGTCAGGGAGATATCGGCGGCGAGTAGGTGGGAGACTGCTGCGGCGTGCGCGGGCAGGATGCAGGCGTTGAAGATGAACGAAGGTGTTATGAGGACAATCCAAGTACCACATCGGCAATACAAGGGAAAGAACCCTTATATATTAGTATCCACCAAGCTCATTAGTTTGAGGCTTTTTGGGGAGGACACCCAAGAGTAAATTCGTGCGAGTTTGGCCTAAAGCTGACAATATCGTACTAATTAAGCAGCCCGGTTATGACAGGAGGAGGGATTGACGGGACGACGGGCAGAGAAGGAAAGCGGGGCGAGCAGGGAGGGAGAGAGAATGTGGGAGGCGGGGAGGCCAGAAGTGACACATAGTGGGTTTCTTTTTTTAGTGTCATTAAATTAAAATTGAATAAAAAATTCCATGTTATCTACCACATGAGCACTAACTAGAATTTCTGTTAAAAACTAACAGTCAAATGTCGGTCAACTCTAACGAAAGCATTGTTCAGGACATAATTGAAATATTGAATAACTCGGGATACAAGTGACATTTTTCTGATAGTTCGGGTTTCTTAGTGGTATTTGCCCAAAAACAATGCAAAAAATACAAAATAATCAATAGTGTTATGAGAGGAGATTAAACATAGAAATCATTTGTTTGACGATCCTTCTTCCTTATTAAAGTTCAACGTTGCGTCGACTAAATGAAGTTAGATGACAAGCACTTTACTTTTGGGTCAAACTATTAATTTTTAAAATATTCATGTTCTCGCTTACACGCAAAGAGATAGCGAACGGGTTTATACTAGTCCTATATGTATTTGTCATTTGTTACATGCATGGCTTCGTGTTTTAGATCGGACGAGAACTATCAGTACGTAGTATATATGTATTTGTATGTGAAACTTATTTACCGCTCACACAATTACTATTTGTTGATAAATGATTATATTGCAACAGCAGAAAGGCGACACTATCATCCGTGTTTTGTTCTTTCTTTGGTCCTTGACATTGCTGTTGTTTTTGTTTTTTTTCTCTCCTTCCCTTTTGTAGTGTGAATAGGTTGTAGCAGTAACCAATGGGTACTAACCTATGAGTAACTGAATCTACATCTTTAGATCTAAGTGGGCACAGAAAATCCAGATCTAAGTGTTGTGAATTAAAGACATTTTATTTTCCCTAGTTTTCTAATCGGCTCTTATCTTATTCGTTCTAACTCGGATTTTGATTTTTTTTTATTATTATTTTTTTTTTTTGCACAGATGGAACGAGTTCGTTGTGCTCTACAAAATTATATCAATTTTCAATATATTTTGAGAATTGTTTTTCATACTTCTCGTTACCAACTACATATCATATGGTAACTTCTTCGTTTTTAAGTCGTTTTTAAAAATATTTGCACAGAAGGAACGAGTTCATCATGATCTATTGGCTCTAAAAATTTCTAGGTGAAAAAAATACAGGATAAAAAATTATCATACTTTACCACTCTGGTATGGGGGTGGTAACTTGTGGTAAACAATGATGAAAGTCGTAAATGACAGTTAGTATACTCCTAATATCATGTATTTAACCTTCCTATAGTCTTGGTATGTTCATACCATCATGATACGCTTTCTTACCATATGGTATTAAATACGAGCATACCATATGGTATTGACTCGCAAAAGATGACTCAAAATTTTTTTTCTAAAAATATATCAAAGTGGATATTATTTTAAAAAGCACAATTAATCTAATTTATACGTGCAAAAAAAATTTTAATTCCAAGTTAAAACGAGAGAGAAATAGTTCGTTAAAGATAAAAGACTTTCCATAAGAGAGAGGGATGCTAATGTAGACGGGTTACTCATGGTTACTCACCCTTAGGTTATTGACTTGGTCCGCTCCCATAGTTCTTTTCCCTTGTTTGGTGCTCACTGCTAGCTTGTGATGCCTGAGACTTTTTTTCTTTCCTTTCCTTGAGTCTAGTTATTTTGCTAACTGCATAAGTTGTTAGTATATACTAACTAATATCCAAAATGTATGAACTAGTATCCAAGTCTGCTTATTTTACTAAAGTATCTAGATAACACAAACTAATATTCAAAACATCACAAACTAGTATCCAGATAGCAGATACCAACTAATATCCACAATCAACCAACTAGTATTCAATTTGGATACTCTTATGTGTTATCTGGATACTCTTATGTGTTATCTGGATACTAATTATGTGCTGTATGGATACAATTTTGTGTTGTCTAGATATTAGTTTGTGAATTTGGGATGATCGTTGATTCATGGTATATATCAATAGCAAACCTTGAATACTAGTATGTGCTCTCTAGATACTTTAGTACTTGGATACTAGTTCATGTATTTTGGATACCAGTTAGTATATGCTAACGAATCTTCAAGTTAGCATATTAACTTTTTCGCCTTTCTTTTTCATTCGATAATAAATTTCATTACTATAAAAAAAAACTAGTGTCGACTTTTAAACAAACGCCAAAAAACCATCGCAAAAACCTGCGGGCTGAAGGAGATGGAAGGCATGACAAGGTTATGGCTGCTGAAAACCGTTGGTTCGTGTCATAGACGATATTTAGCATCGGTTTTTAAACCATCTCAAAAAACTTGTAGGTGATTGTTAGGTATACTACGTTTTTTTTTTTTTTTGCGATTATTAATTGTTTAATTTAGAAATAAATTATATTTTGGTAGCTGAAATCCAAATTTCTGTATTATGAATAGATACAAGAGTTAGATTAATACTCCACAAGAGCTAATCTATCGAACTCTTCTGCATTGGAACTACTTTTTGTTCTGATCTATTTACAAGACAAAGCTTGTGGAACTATATAAGCCCCATTCCCCTTCATTCATTCTCCATCTAACTCACAAAGACGACTTCTCTCCCTCAGAACCCATACATATATATTGCTATCAACCTGCACCAAGAAAGAAAAAACAATACCCACCATCAAAAACAATAACAAGATGATGAAGAAAAGGACGATCATCTCAAACATTGTCATCGTATTTGGGATCTCGGCCGTCCTCTTCATTTGCGTTGCAGAGAGCAGACACCCAAGGCCAACGGCAGTCCAATGCAGCACGGTGGAAATCGATGCCATGCCGTGCCTGCAGTTCGCTCAAGGAGGTCAGGACAAAGTCCCACAGACCTGCTGCAGTGGTTTACACAACCTCGCGGATAGCTCAACCACAGTCGACGACAAGACCGCCTCCTGCAAGTGTTTGGCTGCTGCTTTTCAGAAATTCCCTACCATCAAAGACGAGGATTTACAGAAAATTCCTGGACTATGCAACGTTACAGTTCCCTTTCCCCTCTCCAAGAACCTCAAATGTGACAAGTAAGTAGCATCCGCTTTGAATTTCTTTTTCGTTATGCCATTTTTTTGTACCACTCATCATTTTGATTTCAATGTTCATTTTTTATTTGCAGCATCACGCAGTTCACTATCGGCTATTAGAGCGACATGATGGTCGAACGACAAGTTTGATATGGCTACTAGAATTCATGTTTATTGTGCCTTTGATTCATCCTATGGATGTACACTGAAACATCAAAAACAATTCACTGCTTGTTTCCTTACCATTCAACCTGTAACCAAAAAAAAAAAAAACTCTTCAAACTCAATCATCTTGTACTTTTAAGTTTTATCCGTTTAACATTCCTACTCAACACTATACATTTTAAGTCCGAAAAACTTATAACTTAATGTTCGTGCATTGAAATACTCATTCGACGATGCTGGACAAGAGGGTCGATGAGATGTTAATCCTTCTATGTTACGAGATTGATATTATCTATAAAGATGTTATTCAAGTATCAAATCTATCAATCCGATCCAATTAGCTTTACTATTTTATGATTATGCTAATTGTTTTTAAACGATGATCCATCTTTAAGAAGTTGACAAGTATCATATAGAAGATAGACAAAGAAAGAAAATACAAAAACCATGGACAGATACAAGAACGAACAATTTTTATTGGGTCAACACAACACTAACAACTACTCAACATCATCATCCTTATACCTTATTCATCATCACCTCTAATCAGCGATTATATTCATTCATAGATATTCATCCCATATATTTCTATATATTAAGTACATGCATAATCCATCAAACTATTACAGAAAGGATAAACAATCACCATGCGATACATACATATACATACAAATTAACACATCACGTCAACCCAAACCAGACCCTTATCACCAACAAAAAGGGACAATCATCACTCACTCAACTCAACAGAGAGCCAACGATCGGAGAACTATCCAGAATCACCATACTGAAAAACACACAAGCTTTTATATTCATGCCGCATCCTCTTCCTCGTCCTCGTACTCCTCATCATCCGCCGTGGCGTCCTGGTACTGCTGGTACTCGGCCACCAGATCGTTCATGTTGCTCTCTGCCTCAGTGAACTCCATCTCGTCCATCCCCTCGCCGGTGTACCAATGCAAGAAAGCCTTGCGCCTGAACATGGCCGTGAACTGCTCGCTCACGCGCCTGAACATCTCCTGAATCGAGGTCGAGTTCCCGATGAACGTGGAAGCCATCTTCAGCCCCTTGGGCGGGATGTCACAGACGCTAGACTTCACGTTGTTCGGAATCCACTCCACGAAGTAGGAAGAGTTCTTGTTCTGGACATTGATCATCTGCTCGTCAACTTCTTTGGTGCTCATCTTGCCGCGGAACATCGCCGAAGCAGTGAGGTAACGGCCATGACGCGGGTCGGCTGCGCACATCATGTTCTTGGCATCCCACATCTGCTGAGTCAGCTCCGGGACGGTCAAGGCACGGTACTGCTGCGACCCTCTGGAAGTCAAGGGTGCGAACCCAACCATGAAGAAATGGAGGCGAGGGAATGGGATGAGGTTCACGGCTAGTTTCCTGAGGTCGGAGTTCAGCTGCCCCGGGAACCGAAGGCAGCATGTGACACCACTCATTGTGGCAGAAATTAGGTGGTTCAGATCGCCGACTGCAATAAGATAATCGGGAAAAGGAGTCAGCGTTATCCCACTCGCCATGGGTATAATATACATACCAGTGATCAGCTAAGCACGAGCAAAATTGTGTTGAAGTATAATGGGTAGTGGCAATAAAATATGGCACTCGAAATCAAATCCATCACATCTAACCTGCAATGATGCTGACAAGCAACCAACCCAACACCAACATTCTCAACTTTCAACGACATTAGTGAAAATGGTCTCAATCGGGGAAGGTAAAACAGATTATCCAAATTACTACCTCACATCAATTTCCAACCAACATTCTCTTGGAGGGGAAAAGGGCTCAATTCATCGAATTCATAGAGGAAAAGCTTGATGAAGGATTGCAATGAGAGGGACTGATTCATTGTGTGACTTGACTTACAAGTTGGGGTAGCAAGCTTGAGGGTGCGGAAACAGATGTCATAAAGGGCCTCATTGTCCAGAACCATACACTCGTCGGCGTTTTCCACTAGCTGATGAACGGAGAGCGTCGCATTGTATGGCTCAACGACTGTATCGGATACCTTAGGAGATGGGAAGACGGAGAAGGTCAACATCATCCGATCAGGGTATTCTTCCCTGATCTTGGAGATGAGCAGCGTTCCCATTCCAGAACCAGTGCCTCCACCCAATGAATGACACACTTGAAATCCTGTTCAAATGGGGGAAAAAGAAACAGGGCGACAGTAAGCCACAGAGAATTTTGCCCAATCCCTAATCCGCATTCATAAAAAAAACGAAATTGCGGAATCGAAACGGATTAAGAGAGAGACCTTGGAGGCAATCGCAATTCTCGGCCTCCTTCCTGACGACATCAAGAACAGAGTCGATGAGCTCGGCGCCCTCTGTGTAATGGCCTTTGGCCCAGTTGTTTCCGGCGCCGGACTGGCCGAAGACGAAGTTATCGGGCCTGAAAATCTGGCCGAAAGGGCCAGATCTGACGGAGTCCATGGTGCCGGGCTCCAGATCCATGAGGACGGCACGGGGAACGTACCGGCCGCCGCTGGCCTCGTTGTAATAGACATTGACGCGCTCGAGCTGGAGCTCGGAGTCTCCGCTGTACTTGCCGGTGTGGTCGATGCCGTGCTCGTCGCAGATCACCTCCCAGAACTTGGCGCCGATCTGGTTGCCGCACTGCCCGCCCTGGATGTGGAGGATTTCTCTCATGTTTTGTAGCTCGTAATTCTTCTTTTCTGGTTTCTCCCGAGATAGACGGAAACCGGCGTTCGATTGGAAGGAAGGGGGAAATGAAGTGATCAGAGCGGGAGGAAGGCGGGAGAGGGAATGAGGATGGAACGGATAGCAAGCAGTTCGGTGAGTACGCGGAAATCGAGGAGAAAACTGTGGCTGACATATAAAGCGGGGAGCTCCCCCACTTTGGGATTTGTGGTTTTTTAATTTTTACCCTTTTTCCTATTGTTTATCAAATTAGTTATTTTACTAACATAATTTCCTCTTTATTTGGAAAGAATGAGAAGCATAACCAAAATTACTAGTTTGGACCCGGCCTGTACATCAGAGAATAAGTACGTGTAGAAAAAATTTCAATCAGAATTAAATGCATTATGTTGAAGCCGCGTTACTCCGTGCCTCGATTCTCCTCTCTCCCGGATTGCACTTGTGATCAGGCGCACAGATCCTGCACAGGCAAACGTCTAGTGGGCTTGGATAGCCCGTTAGCACTCCGACGCTCAGGCCAGACTCTGCTTTTAGAGAGAGAAGTAATCTAAAAGCTTTTAGTGAAAGAATCCAACCTGCGTAAATGCTACCTACCGAGTACTATTTATACTCGCTGAGGTTCCAACGGTCCTCCTGGCATTTAAACCCACGCCATCCCCTCATTTAATGCATGGTACGGTACAATAGTCAGGTGCCTATACGTGGCCGCCTCAGAACACCCCAAAAGGGGCGCCCAGCAGGGACCACCTCGCCAGGTGGCTCCTTTCCTTGCTCGTCCTTCCGTACCACTTGTCTTCATGCTTCTTTTGTCGTCATGCGCCTGCCCTACACTGAGAACCCTAACTTATTGTTTGGGCCTGTTTCACCATTCTATCCTCATGGGATTGGGCCTATTCATACTTCCCCAACAATTGTCCCCCAGTTAGGTGCTCATAATTAACAATGAGCGCCTAACTATGGACCGATATGCCTACCTCTTTCTTAGCACGCCTTTCACAATCGCGTCCACCTCCGCGTGCGCCTCTGTAGCCGCTTTCCTTATACGCTCTTGTCCCCCTGTGTCCACCACTATGCCGTCATCTAGGAACTCCTAAATGATTCTCCCCGTCGTTTCCCCTACCCATCTTTTGCCATTTCTCTCTACACTCACGAAATTCTCCTCCCATCTTTACCACTCTCTTTAAAGCGCCCATTTTCCTACCATCTCCCTTTAGCAGGCGCCTACTCATTTCCACCTAGCAGGCGCCTAGCATTATACCCGCCCCCTCACCGTGCGATTCAAATTTTGAATTTTGAATTTTTTTTCAAATTTGAAACGGACGGTGAGGATCTGATCTCAAGGTCGGGCGCGCATTCCAACATTGGCCCGTTGGGCTCCCCTCTCATATAAATATGTCGGTCGCTTTCCTTTTAACTCATTCTGACGAAATCTCTCTCTCTCTAACTCTCTCTCTCTAAACGCGGCCGCCTGTGCGCCTGTTGTAACATACAATAAAAGCCGACAATGTCTCGTCGATCCGATTCGGGTGCCCCCTCCTCTGATGCAACGAAAGACACCGACTCGGCGCCTGATGTTCTTTCAGTGTTGGCGAAACATTTTTCTCCAGATCCACTTCGCGAGTCCGGCGGATGGACACCTCGCGCCAAGAATCAGGCGCCTACAAAGGATGATGCGACCACCGCAGCTGTTACCTCGGAGGCGCCTATCATGAAAGAACCACTGGTCAAGGCGGAGGAGCCTCCTCGCTCGCATGCGCCGACAACCGATGTTGCACCCGATGCGGCGGCGCCTTCAAACCCCACACCGAGTAAGTGGTTACGAAATCTAAATCGACACACTTTTTTTTAGGCGCCCATAGCCACTAGGGTTTAGCAATGACGCTAGCCGTTTCCTCAAAACTTTTAGGCGCTGCGCCCGGACCTCCCCCATCGGCTGAATTAGTGATGTCGCCGATGTCATCTGATTCAGGCGCCCCCGAGGATGGATCCGTCAAGATTAGGAGATGGGTGGATACTTTCCCCTCGGGGCAGGCGCCAGTTGAGACCAGTCATTTGACCGTGATCGAAGCTGGTCCTGATCACGTTTCAACTGTGAAGGCGCTTGAGTTAGAAAACTTGGCCATCTCCATGCAACTTCCCCTCACCTGGTCCTTCGCGCCCGCGCCCCGCGGGGCCTGAATTGGCGTGATTGGTCCCCGCTGTCTTGGCATTTACCGAGAATATTTTCGATTTGGGCTCCGCTTTCCCTTGGATTCGATCCTTGAAGGCATAATGTCTACATGCAAGTGCTCCATTGGGCGCCTATCTCCCTCCGTTTTTCTTATCCACATCTTTTTTAGATTGAAGTGTCGGCAACATAACGTCGAGCCCTCGTTTAACCTCTTTCATCACTTTTTTAAAATGCAATATAGTGACAACTGCCTTTCAATTCAGAGGCGCCTAGACCTCCCCGGCCATTTCTTAGTAGAGGCGCCCAAACTAGGTAGAGAGTGGTTTAGGAGCTTCTTTTTCATTAAACCACGTAAAGAGTCTTTTTATGAAAGCGACGCCCCGTTCACGAGAGGGTGGGTGATTGGTGACCACGAGGCGTTCAACGTCGAGGTAACCTTGACGAAAGCGGAGAAGGAAGGCGCACGACTTATTTCATTGTACCCTGTTTGCCTTAAGTCCACTGAGGCTCGGATGCCTGTGCTACACGAGTATTATCGTGAAAGTGGGCCTTTGCTTTCAATGCGCATGTTCTCTTTCCTTATTGTTTTTCATGTTTGCTTAACAAGTTCCCTTTGTATTTGCTTGGCAGGTTCGGACTTCACCTCAGTTGCGTCCCTGATGAAGTCCCTGTTTGCGAAATTAGGTTTGGCGGCCAAGAAGGCGCCCAGCTCAAGGAAGGGTCCCAAAAAATCCTGAGGAACAAGCAAAGCCACCTCCTCAAAAGGCGTGACTTCCAAACAGACCAAGCCTGCTGCTACTGAAACACAGGCGCCTAAGCCTGCGGAGGTGAAGGACAAAGGGCACCCAACCAAAAAGGGCAAATCTCCCAAGAGGGTTCAGCCAAAGAAGATTCCCATTCCTCTGGCGTCCAATGTGGTGGACGACACTGTGGATACATGGGAGGTGCCCCATGCCACGGAGGCCATTGACGCCTCGGCGCCTGTTGTTGACTTGGTTCAGGGGGAGGATGTACTTGAAGATGAATTGCCCTTGTCCCAAAGATTGAAGAGAAAGGTCGAGGGCGCCCAAGGTGAGTTGAGTAAGCGCCTACGTCTAGACGACGATATGGAACTACCCGAGTCGATGTATAAATGGCTTCAACCACCGAAGCACAAAGTGACTCTAGTTTGCTCAGACCGCGCCGCATTGGAGCGGAGCGCTGCCGCCCACATGATGCTAGCTGCTGGAGATGTGCTTCGGGCGCCCCTCAACTTAGCAGGCGCTGATCCCTTGGCAGAAGTGTGTCGTCTAAACGCCCAAGTAAGTGGTTCGTCTTTTACACTTTACGTTTTGTTCTTTCAACTATTCATTGACAGACGCACAATTATCGCACTTGCAGATGATGCTTGCTGCACAGAAAGCCATCAAGGAGCGTGAGGCCTTGCGCGTCGAGGCCACCGAAGCGACCACCTCGCTCGGCGTGTCTCAGGATAACCTCGAGACGGCGAGAAATCGTCAAGAAAAACTCATAAAGATGTGCGAGGATGCCCAACTTGAGGCCGCTAAGAGCGCCTCGCTTTTGCAGTACACAGTTGATGAAGAAAAGGAGAAATTGCGCAAGGAGTATGAGGCACAGATTGAGGAGGAAAAGAGGGCGCATGAGGAGACCAAGGTGAAGTTGGAAAAAGAGAAGCTTGACTTAGAAAAAGAGTCAGGCGCCTACAGGAGTGAGACCTCCTTCGCCAAGAAAAGCGTGCTTTGAAGAAAGATAAGAAGGTGTTGGGCAGAGACAATGAGAAGCAACAGAAGGAGATACAGGCGCTCCGAGAGGAGAAGAAGGTGCTTAAGGGTGAGAAGCAGGCGCTCGAAGCGCGGGCGGTGGAGGGCAACCCATCCGATTCTACTCAGGCGCTTAAGGCTGCGGCTTCTTTAAATAGCATTCTGATCTTGCGAAAGAAGCTGTTGGCTGATCATCCTAACATTGATTGGGATGTCGACTCTAAGGTGAGCTTCGTGATTTCCTATATGGAAAGCGGGCGCCCAATAGCAGACGAAGCGCCTGATGATGATGGTGAAGAAAATAATGATGATGATGATGCTTCTTCTTCCGAGTCAGGCAGCAGATCAGCCGAGTAGCCTATGGGCGCTTAGTGATTTTGCTTTATCGTTTATGTATCGAATGACAATTTTATTTCCCGCTTTTCCTTGCTTGATGACTCCTTATGTTTGTTGATTAGACGTTCTGCTTTGCCTAAGTTATTTCTCTTTTCTTCCCCCTGCCTTATGCTTGTCGATTAGATTTTTCTTTTTTCAATTGCAAGGGCGCAGAGAGGTGGGCGCTTTGTTTACACTGGCGCTCTTCTCTTTTTACCATATAAGAGGCGCACAGGTGGGCGCTTTACACGACGTGGGCGCTTTGTTTGACTAATGTTTCCTTTACGATGTTTTCTCCTCCGTTAGCAATTAGGTCCATTTTGACAATCGTGGGCGCTATATGGTGGGCGCTTTGTTTACATTCACACTAGTCCCCTTTCCTTCAACATCGTGCCTCATGTATAACTAATCCACCTTTGCCATGTAAGGGGCGCAAAGGGTGGGCACTTTATATGACGGGCGCTATAGGGTGGGCGCTTTACAAAATGAAGGTCGCAGTAGTGTGGGCGTTGTACTTGCACTCTTTCTCAAAACTCTATTCCATATTAATTAATCCGATGTTGCAAAAGTATGGGCGCAAACGAGGACGCTTTACAAAATAAAGGGCTATATAAGGAAGGGCGCTTTGATTCTACGGCGCATTAGGGCGCTTTTGGAGACAGAAAGAAACCTACTAACCACTGGAGACTTGACACTGACTATTTTCCTTCCGTTTCTTAGCAAGGTAGGGCGCCTATTCCGCTGCCCCAGGCATTGCATCCATTTCCTCTTCGCTCTCACCATCCATCACGCTCGATTCCCCAGCCTCATATCTTCGCAAGTTTTGTGCATTCCATGTTCGCTTCACTTTCTTACCCGACAG